GATTGAGGCTTTTAGAGAGGACAGGTAATTTACCAAACCCTCTTCTTGTCTTCGGGGCCTATGCTTTTGACAACTGTATTAACTGCCTCCACATATTCTTTCAAGAGCTAACTTAATGCAGCACATTCTCTAATCTATAATTTACCACATTCTATTATATCAGGCAAAACTGGGCAGTGTTTTCAGAGCTGGTCTCTCTGGCTAAAGTGTTGAAGCAGAAGTGAAATTATTGCTTTTACCTTAAAGGTAACTCCACTGGATTTCAATTTCCTTATCTTTAAAATGAGAGACCTGGAACAGAGAAATGCCAAGATCTTCAAATCTGTAAATTGGCCAAATTAATCCAAATATTTACTTAATTTTCCTATCTAGGATTTAGAACAGATAGAGCCTATGTAATTTATGTCTTCCATGTTCCTTCCCTTTAGATTTAAACATTTTTCCTTCCGAGGTTGAAGTCTCTGACTGGTACCAGTTAGCCTGGGAAAATGAATGAAGGTTGTTGAACAGTTGTGTGCAAGGCAGCATTCTAGGTGTATTGTGCACATTATCTCATTTAATCCTCACAAAATCCCTAGTGAAATAGTCATTGTTATCTTCACTGAAAAAGAAAGCAATCAGGGCTGGCTGGTTAGCTCAGCTGGTTAAGACCACACAGCCTTGTAACACCCTGGTCAAGGGTTTGGATCCCCACACTGCCAGCAGCAAGGAAAAAGAGAAAGCAACCATTCTATACCCATGAAAACACAGAGGTGCAGAGTGATTAGATAACCTGTCCAATGTCACCTAACAAGTAAGTGATAAAGCCAGGATTTGGAACTAATTCTTTCTGGTTTTAGATTGGTTCTCTTCACTGATACACAGTGCCTACCACATTCCCTTTTTGTTTGTCTGTTTTCACTTAAATATTTAAAGATTTCTCAGGCAAAAATGGTAGTAAGGGACTTTTCAGGGGTCCTTCTGTTAATCAATTTATGCATGCTAGAGATTCCTTATGTTACATGATGATGCTGAGGATCATAAATGACATCCAGCTAAAGTCATTTATGTAGTTCTAGGCATTTGAAACCTTGTGTGTGTTCAGACATGTGATATATATTTTTTTTGTCTGCTCAAACATTTTTGTTTATCTGCAGTGGTTTTGTAAGTATCTTTTCTGATTTAATAAGTTAGCCAGTGTAAGGAATATCATTGATAATTATAGATTATATATTTTTTCATATGACATGTAAATAACTTTTTACCCATTCTTTGTCATTTTCCAGATGAAGAAACTAGCAGAATTTTACCTAGGGTCACACAAAGTGAAAAAGGTGGCAAAAATAATAATAAGCTTTGGAGTCCTCTTTCTCAGCACCATATTCTGAGTACTGAATCCACTTGAAATATTACGGTCTCATGGAGGACAAACTGCTGTCCCCAGACGATAATGCTGCTGCTGTTGATGATGATGATAATCATAATTATCATTATATCTATTTCCGAAATACTGTTCTAAGTTCCTTAG